ATATGTACATAAAGAGAAATTGATGAGAAGTATAAATGAAGGCCGTAAGCTTTGTGGCAGCTAGTTTTTAGACTGTCAAAATGATCTGGTTTCGATATTCAATTAGTCTTTAGACCTTAAGCATTCACCTGGTTGTGATGTATAACAGAGGGGCCACGTCCATCACTTCACCGCTTAACACAATCCAGCATATGTAGTGAAGGTACAAGTTAATCTAATAGATTCCTTTTTTTTTTATTGATGTCATCAGTCAGGTCGCTGTCTCTCTTGAATTGTAGACTTAGCTACTGGACGCTTCAGAGAAGAGCCCTATCCAAGACTCCAAGGGGGGCTATCATGGGTGTCAGTGTTCCCAAGTACCAGGCCTAAAGGGGGAGTTAGATTCTAAGGCATGTTAAGCTGGTATGCCGTAACCAAACATTATTCTGCTAAATAGTTTCAACTTTGTGACACCTGTCTCAATGTCTGTTGGTCGTTGAAGTTCACATGGAGTGGGAATAGCATCAAAGAATAGTTTTATCAAAACTATTTTGTTTACAAAAGAATCCTTTAAACACTTGTTTTAAAAAACTGGTGGTCACAAAATAATATTTGCCACTTCGAATGCTATTAATCGTATTAATCTATTCACATTTTATTAAACGAATCACCCAATCCACATTTCATTAGTTGTTATTATCCAATCATGAATTTTAACAAATGAAGTTAAACACAAATCTACCAAGAAAAAAGATGGGAAGTTTACAACATAACATTAAACCACAAGATTTCAAATGACCTGTCGGACGTCTATCTATCGGACGGCTGTCTATCGTAGGCTGTCTATCGGACGGCTGTCTATTGGAGGGCTGTCTATTGGACGTCTGTCTATTGGACGGCTGTCTATCGGACGGCTGTCTATCGGACGGCTGTCTATCGACGTTTGTCTAACAGACATCTGTCTATCGGACGGCTGTCTATCGGACAGCTGTCTATTGGAGGGCTGTCTATCGGATGTCTGTCTATTGGACGTCTGTCTATCGGACGTCTGTCTATTGGACGGCTGTCTATCGGACGGCTGTCTATCGGACGGCTGTCTATCGGACAGCTGTCTATTAGACGGCTGTCTATCGGACAGCTGTCTATCGACGTCTGTCTAACAGACAGCTGTCTATCGGACGGCTGTCTATCGGACAGCTGTCTATTGGAGGGTTGTCTATCGGATGTCTGTCTATTGGACGTCTGTCTATCGGACGTCTGTCTATTGGGCGGCGGTCTACTGGTTGTTAACCCCTCTCCGAACACATTTTAAAACCCCTCCCTATTTTTGTAGCTGTCTCCGGCCTGACTTTCTGCCCACCTACCTATATCAAAGTAGCAGTGTCGGCACCTTTAAGATACATACATCGGGTCAGGGGCGCTGCTACATCGGGTCAGGGGCGGGAATACATCGAATCATGAGCGTCCATACATCACATCAGGGGTGCACATGCATGACATCAGGGGCGCCCATACATGACATCAGGGGCGCCCATACATGACATAAGGGGAGGCCAGACATCATGCCAGGGGCGCCCATACATCGGGTGTTGGTAATGAAGATGATTTCCTTGTACGTGTGAATAGATTATTTCCCTTTAAATTCATATAAGACAATAGTGAGAGATGATATTCTTGATTCCAGGGACATAACTCACCTGGAGCTAAATGCATACCCTCAACTTAACTGTAGTTAGTTAACGCTGGGTGAAGGGGTGGGGCTCAAGCTGATCCTGTTCGCCGCTATGCCCAGTGCCGCAGCTAGGGTCAGTGCCGCCGCTATGCCCAGTGCCGCAGCTAGGGTCAGTGCGGACTAAGTATTTTGTACCCACCCCTTTCGCCACGACAAAACCCTGTAGAAGACCTAACATATCGCTTCTCCTTAAAAAAACCCTTTCTAAGCCCCGTTCCCCGCTAACATCTGAAATGCCCCTACCTGACTTTTTTTTTTTTAAAGTTACACTGAACAAGAGGTCTTTAGGACAAAGTTTGTGGATACATTCATTGCATAACTTAATTACTGCCTTGGGGGGAAAAAAGACTTTTTGTCACAATCATAAAATTATCAACTTTGTTCTTAGTTACACTTATGAAAAAGTAAATTAAAAAACATTCAAAATTTTACTTACTAATACTATCAGTACACCAGCCTTAGGAAAATGTTAAAATTCATGCGCCTACCTGAAATAAAGTACAAAAAGTAATCCAGGGAAAAGATTTGAAAATCATAAAACTAGTTCACGAAAGCTGTTGTCTTCAACTTCTGACTTGATACCAATCTGGAGTTATTTAATCTTTATATTAATACATGCAAATAGTTAGGGCATTCTGATATTATTCAGATTAATGACCAGACAAAGTCTGTTAAGATATTAATACAGGCCTCAATGTGCATTGAACATTTCGTTTAACTTTCTGTTTATCCAGCAAACTACGTCACAAACTCTGTCTCAATCTATCACAAACTCTGTCAAAATCTATGTCACACAATATGTTACGAACTTTATCACAAACTATGTTACAAACTATGTTACAAAAGTAGCAAATGTCTAGAAAATACCAATGATTACGGTATTAAAAAATTGACAAATGATAATTCTTTATTACTCCAAGTAAATGAAAATGTGTTTTGTTACATTGTACATTGTACACATTCATTTCAACACATGGAGATATATTTTTAGCAAGAACTATTTCATACTATTAGAATCATATGTTTTTATGTCGTTGGAAAGGGAAGATCCTTTAAGAATATTTCAAATATTTGGAATCGAATAATATAACTAGATTACGAATACTATAACTAGATTACGAATACTATAGCTAGATTACGAATACTATAACTAAGTTAGACATTAACCTTCTGATCATTAAATATATCGAGCGCCACAGAACTGGCTTGGAGTATTTCATTAATTTCATTTGGTGTGAGTTGAACTTACCATTTAAAACTTTTTAAAAAATATTTTGAAAGGATGATTTTTTTATTTTTTTAAATATATATATATAAATATATATATATATATATATATACCTGTATTTCTCTGTATGATATACGCAGGTTTCTCCGCAGGGGAACTTAATTTCCTGCATGGGAGAATTTCCCACCCCTCCCAAGAGGGATCCCCAAAAGAAACACTTCATTATAAAATATTTAACCAATTAAAAGATCACAGAAGAAAATGGATGAATAAAGGCCGGCCAGCGGATCTTTCCAAAGAGATCTTTCTGTTTATGTTCATCAAATACCGTGAAGCAACGAGAATTAGCATAAGAGTCCCGGGACTTAAAGAAACAGGAAGTAGAGAAAACGACATGTCAATAATTGCTGAGATTTGTTCACCATATGACGCAGAGTGGGGTAAGACATTGCAGAGATTTGTTCCCTCTGTGACGCGGAGTGGGGAAAGACATTGCAGAGATTTGCTCCCTCTGTGAACCGGATTGGGGAAAGACATTTGCCTTGCAAAGAACAACATCCGGGCAGTCAAAAAATAACCCCCCCCCCCCACAAAATGTTCATGTAATACAACATTAAGTTTAATGCACATGGTCGTTTTTTTTAAGTTGAACAAATTGTTCAGTCTCTTTTACTTGGCTTTGAACACAGGATTTAATCTTGAATAAATGTACGGGGACATTATTATTGTATCCGATAAGACAAATGTTGCTGATCTCTTGATCCAAGAAGGCCTCCCGTCTTGAAATGGGAAAAATGGGAAAGAAGTTACCACATCGATTCCGGAAGTAACGCTCAAAATAAATATACGCTTATTTGAATTTACCCTGATTTGAATTGAAGATTATTTGAATTTATGATTATTTCTATGTAATTTAATTACACTTTTAAATAAAATAGCCACAAAATAAAATTTTTGAATGTTTTCTTGCGCCCCCCCCCCCCACCCCAAAAAAAAAAAATAGTTCGTAGAAGAAAATAATAATCTCTAATTATTGGATTCCTGGCGCAGTGCCAATCCCACGGAGTCCCAAAATAGTTGAATGTTAAAGTTGTTCAAATAATGGGAACCAGTTAATAAGTACAGCGTTCCACTTGAGTGTCACTTCTGTAATCAGTCGAGCAAAAACAACGGGTCACGTGGGGGTCGGAGGGGGGGGGGGAATGGGATCGGGGCATCAAGGGGAGACCAGAGAACACAAAAATAAATAAAAGAACATGTACTCTCTGGTTTGTGTAGCAGATGCAGAGCTCAACTGGGGTAATTTAACGAGATTTTAAGCAAAATTTTGACTAAGTGGATTAAAGGTATCAGCACCACAGACGCACATTCCCCCCCCCCCTTTTTTTCACTCCAAATGTAAAGTTACTGCCCCTTCCTGAATTGGTTAAAAGAGATAGAAGTTTGAAGGTCCTGGAATGCTTGTAGTGTGTGAAAGTGTGTGTATGGGGTAATTTAACGAGATTTTAAGCAAAATTTTGCCTAAGTGGATTAAAGGTATCAGCACCCCAGCCGCACATTCCCCCCCCCCCTTTTTTTCACTCCAAATGTAAAGTTACTGCCCCTTCCTGAATTGGTTAAAAGAGATAGAAGTTTGAAGGTCCTGGAATGCTTGTAGTGTGTGAAAGTGTGTGTGTGTGTGTGTGTGTGTGCGAGAGTACGTTTGTATGTGTGTACGCAAGCGTGTGTCCAGGATGGTCTATTTGGACACTGCTTAGTAACATTCTATTACATACTTTTTCCCCGCGTAGGTTTCAGGGTCTATAAATAAGTTGGCAGAGCGATGGCTTATAAATTGACCGGACCTGAGGTGGACAGTTCCAAACTGAGCCAGGGAGCTGAACACGGATTTTTTTAACTCTGAAACACGGACATTTTCAAAATTAAGGAAAAACGGAATTACATTTTTTGGAGAACATTCTAGCTCAAATAAGAAACAATAACAAAGAACTTTCAAGAACATCGTGCCATAGAACATTATCTACATAGGAGTGTGACGTCAAATCTTGTAATTGGAATTTTTGTGTTCATAAGTTCCCGTTTTTAATAATAAGAAGTCACTGCAAACCATAAAATATCAGAATGTAATGTAATCTAATTTTTTTAAAAAACAAAAACTATTGGATTTAAGTTTTAAAATGAAAGCTATCATTTAAATAGTACAAACTATACGTGAAATGTTTAAAATAAAATTGTGACTAAATGTGAAATCTTTTTGATCAAATCCGAACAATCAAAAGTGATTTTCAGACGGATCTATCATGACGTCATTCTGAACATTGATCACAATGTATCATGTTGCCACTTTCTACGTCACTAATAAATTAAAATTGGTATCATTTCATTTTAAACTTTTCAAAAATATTGTTCTGACCAAATGTTAAATGAAGAGGATATTTTTAACAGAGTGAGAAACTTTTTGAGACACCGTGTGTTATAAAAAAATTATTTTGTTTTTTCGCATTTCAGTAATAAAATACACAATTTTTTTACATAACGGATCACCTTCGAAGCGACATTAAAAGAAATAGCACATAACTATAGATACAAATTATGTTTTATATATATATATATATATATATATATATATATATATATATACATATAAAGATATGATACATTGACATTCCTCTGTAAAGCGCAAATTCGCTTACGAGCGCTGTTCTTTCAGTTGCATCTTAGAAGAGATGTCTCTATATAAACTCCATATAAACTCCATATAAAATCCATTTAAACTCCATATAAACTCTATATATTTATATATGTGCAGAATCCCACTATGAAGCTCCTGAGTTTACTCACCCTGGTTTGTACAGTTCTTGGAGCTAAAGGTCAAGGTAAGCTGAACAACTCCCTGTGTGTTTACGTTCATATGACCCGGGTAAGGGAGAAAAGTTCAAGGACGAGAGAGTGAGTCTGAGGAATAGGGCAACTCTCCCTCACATTAAAAAAAATACAGCTCAAGGTCAAGGCTGCTACGCGAGGCAAAATGTTGCCCTGGTCATATTCCACTTCTCAGTGTTCAAGGTCATGACATGAAGAGCTCACCCAGCGAATAAATAGGCGCGATTGTTATTTTTTATCTTAATTACACGTGTGGGGCTACACTCGCGTGGGGCTACACTCGTGAGGGGCTACACTCGCGTGGGGCTACACTCGCGTGGGGCTACACTTGCGTGGAGCTACACTCGCGTGGGGCTACACTCGCGTGGGGCTACACTCGCGTGGGGCTACACTCGTGTGGGGCAACACTTGTGTGGGGCTACACCCGTGTGGGGCTACATACGTGGGGTGCTACACTCGTGTCGTGCTACATTCGTGTCGTGCTACACACGGGGGGTGCTACACTCGGGCGGTGCTACCCATCTCCATCCAAACCATAACGTTGACCTTTGACCCTATGTGGGATTTAATTAATGCTTAAAAAAACCTAACTCTAAAGCTCCATTATTATACCAGAGATACATTAATGAGGTGTACACTTCCATTATTGTCTCTCACTGTGTACGTATCTCACTGTGTACGTATCTCAATGTCTACGTACCTCAATGTGTACTTATTTCATTGTGGTAGAGTGTATGACTGACGATTATTGTTGTGTGTACTGAGTGAGCTTAGCGACCTGATTGGACTGTGTTGTTGTCATATTGCATGACTTGACATGGTGAGTAGTTTTCATGAATTCTTTAAACTTAAATGTGTGAATATTGGTTAGAGAACTGGGGTGAGTGGTCACGTGATGTGATTTATAGAAAAGAATGTAGAATGAGAAATACAGATTCGTTGGTGCACAGACCACAGACGTGTTGCGATCATATTTACTATTAAAAATATATAAGTATCGCAAAGTGTACATTTATCAATCTGTACATATATCACTGTGTACGTATCGCAATATGTAAATTTTTCAATTTGTACATATCGCAATTTGTACATTTCCCATTGTGAATTGATCTTAATGTGTACGCATAATAATGTGTACATATATCAATGAGTGCACATCTCAATGTGTACATATCTCAATGTCTACATATCTCAATGTGCACATATCTGGAGGTGTAAATATCTCAATGTGTACATATCTCACTGTATACATATCTCAATGTGTACATACATATGAGTATCAGTTTTTCTTGTTCAAGTCTTTTGTTAGATACTTCTTTTGTTAGATGCTTCATATTCATGTACGGAGATAATATCTGTGGATATTCTTATTAAGATGATATATGAAAATTAGCTTTTTTCCTATTATAGACAAACTAAGCACGCGTTGACTTATTATATCGAATGCTGCACTGGGGTCAAGGACACACACTAATGCTGTGGTATCAAAATTGAAAAGTGGATTTGTCGTTTGATTGCTACACTTTCAATCCGATTGCCGATTACAATCATATCAAATATCAAGCCAATGTGACCTCGCCTAGATCTTATCAAATTTTATATCAATTTGACCTTTCTACGATCGTATTAAATATTAATTCAACTTGAACTTGCCTAGATCTTATCAAATATGTCAATTTGACCTTTCCACGATCTTATTAAATATTAATTCCGTTTGACCTTGCCACGATCTTATAAAATATCAAGTCAATTTGACCTTGCCATGATAATATCAAATATCAAGTTAATTTGACCTTCAAACTGTGCTATCTCGGTGTCATGTTTTTCCACATCCATCCACACTGTGCTGTCTCCGCGTGGCCTTCTAAACTAATCTTAACTAAATGTTGGTTCCTAATGTCAACACGTGCCGTGAAGTTTGAGACTGCGCCCTGAATCTACTTAACTCTCATCGACCCGAGCTCTGCCCCTGACAGACATTTGTTTGAGGGAACACGCCGGGCAATGTTGACCTGGGACTTTGGCTATGTTGCCCCCCCCCCCCCCCCCCCCCCCCCCCCCCCNGATAATATCAAATATCAAGTTAATTTGACCTTCAAACTGTGCTATCTCGGTGTCATGTTTTTCCACATCCATCCACACTGTGCTGTCTCCGCGTGGCCTTCTAAACTAATCTTAACTAAATGTTGGTTCCTAATGTCAACACGTGCCGTGAAGTTTGAGACTGCGCCCTGAATCTACTTAACTCTCATCGACCCGAGCTCTGCCCCTGACAGACATTTGTTTGAGGGAACACGCCGGGCAATGTTGACCTGGGACTTTGGCTATGTTGCCCCCCCCCGCCCCCCCCCCCGGTCAAACAAAAATGTCATGTTTGAGGTTAATTAGAATGTGTCATCCCACAATCAACTAGAATGTGTCATCCCACAATCAACAGGGTGCCTCACCAAACAATTAGAAGGTTTGTTTATTTTATTTATAAATAATTGTATATGTCGAATAGATATATCTTGACTGTGACTAATTTAGTCCACGTTATTTGAAAGTCATTTAATATTTAGTTTATTGATAAAACATGAAGTTTCTATGGTCCAAATGTATACATCTGTCATTGGTCTACACATTTTTTTTTTGGTTTGAATTTATAAAGATTCTGTTGATTTTTTTGATTTTTTTTTTTAGTATCATGCTTTTAATCTTTTATGGACATCTTTATTGATTTTTAATACAATTAATCTATTATTTTCATTTGTGTTTTTTTTTTTTTTTTTTTTTTTTTCCAATTTTTTTTTTTTTTTTTTTTTGTTTATATTTTTTAATTTTTTTTTTTTTTTTTTTTTTTTTTTTTTTAATATTTTGTTTTTTATTTTTTTTTGTTTTTTTTTTTTTTTTTTTATTAAATTTTTTTTTTTTTTTTTTTTTTTTTTTTTTTTTTTTTTTTTGCTATTACCAATTTATTATTTGTATTGATTGTAAATACAAATAATTTATTATTTTTAAAAGGGGAAGTAAGTATTTTTTTTTTTAAATTTTTAAATTAGGATTCAAATTTTAAATGATTTTTATTTTTTTTTGTTTTTTTTTTTTTTTTTTTTTTTAATTTTTTTTTTTTTTTTTTTTTTGTTTTTTTTTTTTTTTTGCTATTACCAATTTATTATTTGTATTGATTGTAAATATAAATAATTTATTATTTTTAAAAGGGGAAGTAAGTATTTTTTTTTTTAAATTTTTAAATTAGGATTCAAATTTTAAATGCTTGAAAAAAATCCAAATTAACAACAGCAAGCAAGAAAGGCTGTACATATATGACGTTTGGTAGACATATGGTGTATAGAGTATGCACAGAGTTCAACGGGGGATGGGGGGTCGTAGTGGTTGAATAATATCTTGGAATAAAATGAAAACGTTGAAGTTTGAGTTGTAACATATGGTATAGAAAACCTATCCTCATTTATTTCTATCATTTATTCATTTACAAATATATATATAAACAACCCATAAAAAGAATCAAGTTTTTTTCGTATAAATCCTTTATATTTTGGTATAAATCCTATAAAAGGAATTTTTTGTGCGACCAACCGATAGCTAGTCTATATTTATTACAACATTAAATCATATTTCCTTCAGCTTCCCTTTGAAAAACAGGAAAACTATTTTTGGAGTATTGGGGGTGGGGCTGAAAATTGGACAAAACATGTATACAGGTGGCGCACTTGATAAGAATCGCATTAGGTGTTTTTTTTACGCCCTGAACTATATTAATATTTTAATGACGCACCCACTTTTACACCACATATTTAGTGCACAAACGTTGGTTTAACTAAAACTATTAATACAAATCAAGTTTTTAATGTTCAGGAAAATACTTTGACCCTGGTGGATTCAGGTAGATTTTTTTTTTTAAGTTAGTATGTTCTGAGGTTGTATCAATTCAATACTTAATATGTATGACACTGTGGGATGCCCTGGGTTTTTTGTATCAGTGGTATCATTAACATGTATGACAATTGGGATACCATGAAGTTGTTGTATCAAATGTACACTTTACATGTATAACATTGTGGATGCCCTGAGGTTGTGGTATCTGTTGTATACTTAACATGTATGACAATGTGGGATGCACACCAAATTAATCCGCTTTCCTTTTCCAATTTCAGTTTGCCCCCCGACGGAACTACTTTTTGTCTTCGACCAATCAGAAAACGCCCGACTCGCCGCGTCTGACGTGCCCTCAAATAACGACACGAAATTCAACATTCTTCAAAATTCTTTCAACAATTTTCTTAACAACTACCTGATCGCCAACAGCCCAAATCCATTTAGGTAAATATTATTGGATCATCATCATCATGTCCCTTAGTCATTGGACCGTTGGAGCGCCACAGATGACATGTGAACCATCCTCCTCCATTCGTCTCTGTCTTGTGCACTACACACAGCATCGCCCAGTGCTTGTCCTGTCCACTCTTTGATGTTATCCTCTCATCTTTTCCATTGTCTTCCTCTTCTTCTCCCTCCTCTTGTGGTGCCCTGCAATATTTCTTTGGCATGCCCTTGTTTCCTTGTTACGCGGCCGTACCATTGTAGTTTGTGATTTTTTCACAGTCACCAGTAGGTCATCGTACTCTCCAATATTATTGGATAGAATTTGGCAACCTCCGTTTCTTTTAGGAAAAACAAAATGGCAATAATATGTGGTTGAAATATGTGGTTGACATATGTGGTTGACATATGTGGTTGACATATGTGGTTGACATATGTGGTTGACATATGTGGTTGACATATGTGGTTGACATATGTGGTTGACATATGTGGTTGACATATGCTACAGATAAAAATCCAGACCTACCAGACAAACGTTAACTTATTACTGGGATATCAAACTATGTTTTGGGTTTTCAGGTTACTGAAACATTATGCTGTAAATATGTCATAACTTTGACCCCCAGGGTCGGCGCCTTAAATATTTCATAACTTTGACCAACAGGGTCAGCGCCTTAAATGTTTCGTAACTTTGACTGACCCCTAGGGTCGGCGCCTTAAATATTTCATAATTTTGACACCCAGGGTCGGCGCCTACGGATACAGCAGCGGCAACTGGTACAACATCATCCCAGAAGGGTCCAGTCCAAATGTGGCTCGCACAAACAGTTATCTCATTGGAACCGGACAAAATGTATGTTGTGATTTTTTTTTTACATTTGTAATAAAACTCCCTTGCTAACAGTGGCGTAGCTGGGGTGGGGGAAACAGCTTTTTGCCTCCCTTTCCGCGAAAAAGTCTGCATGGAGACGAAAATGCTTTCCCTCAAAATGAAGAAAACATTGGCCCGACTAGTGTCGACCCCCCTACGCCACTGCTTGCAAATGTCTTGTATATGTGTAAGGTCTTTTTTTCCGACTGCGCTGATTGGGGCAAAAATTATTTCAAAACTAGAATCTGTTTTCATTTTTTTTTTTAAAGTGTTTATTTCTTTAAATAACCAAATGACCCCACCCCCTTCCAAACTTCTTGTGACGTAATACTTAACCCAGGGCTCTTGTAACAAAGTTTGAGAAGCTATTTTAAATTCAACCACCTTTTCCTCTAAACCAGGGGGGTTCGTGGACCCACGCTGGCCTGGAGGCGATACGGACCAGGCCACAGTTCCAGAACAACAGAGTCATCATTGTCTCATCTCAAGGATCTGGTAACGACTATAGGCGCCAGTTAGCCTTAAGTGAGGTGCAACGTGTGCGACAACTGGGCTGGATCCCTGTGGTCATCGCAGTGCAGGTGTGTGGGTAGTGGATCTACGTCCCGATGTTTGTCCTTTTATTTGCGTACAGATACGTCGGTATTGTATTTACGTACAAATAAGTCGGTATTGTATCTATGTCCAGATACGTCGGTATTGTATTTACGTCCAGATACGTCGGTATTGTATTTTCGTCCAAATATGTCTGTATTGTATTTAAGTCCAGATATGTCTGTTTTGTCTTTACGTCCGGATCTGTTTTTTTTTTAATTTACGTTCCGATGTGGTGGTATTCTTTTACGTACGTCTCGGTGTGTAGTTATTTTAACAGGGCGTGTGTTCTTTGTAGTGGATTGTTCAACAATTTTATCTCCCCGCGAATGAAAGCAGCTGAGTCAAAAGTCTACTCTCTACGCCAAGTGGAAAAATTGAAATTATTTGTTTTAAAATCTTGTAATAAAAGTTACGACCACAATGTTACAGGGCAGAAACCCTATTGACACCACAGAGCTGACCAGCATCAACGGGGGTGTGCCGCCAACCATCCTTTACGACGGCCTCGCTGACCCCAAGAGTTACCGCCTGCTGGCCCCAGAGCTTGACAGGATCCTTGCCAGCATATGCAACTATGTCATCCCTACACAGCCCCCAACGACTCCAGCTCCGACCCCAGCTCCAAGAATAACAATTCCCAGACCATCCAATAGTTGTAAGTTACAACCTAATAATTGTACGTCACAACCAGATAAGTGTACGTCACAACCAGATAAATGTACGTTACAACCAATTTTGTGTATGTTCTAAAGATAATTATATCAATTCATCTCACTGTTCAGTGTGAAGTCTAAAAATTCATCTCATTGTTTCAATGTGTAGTCAAAAAATGCATCTCTTTGTTTCAGTGTGCAGTCAGTGTCTGTTCGAAGGCGGTTACGGCTTTGACTTCGACCCCGTGTACTGTGACAGCTTCTACCAGTGCTTCCCAGACTCTGAGCCCATAAAAAAACTGTGCCCCGCAGGGACCTTCTGGGACGGTGCACAGTGCAACTTCATCAATGCCGTCAGGTGCACAAACGGTATGTCAGGGTGGCACAATCTGATTGTCTTCAGGGCTTAGCCAGTTTCTGAAATGAAATACGCAGTGGAACTGGAGGTCCTTTTAAAACAATCAAAATAATTTTGTTTATTTTTTCGCCTCCTGATCCAGTCAGCAGATTATCATTTTTTTTTTCGTATTTATTGAAGCTTCAACTTTTTTCTATACAAGCGCCGTTCATGTTTTTAAATGATCTAGATCTTTACTGTAAGACTCCTCTATCCCTGAGCGTCTGTTTTTTTTTCCTGATTTTTGTTAGATAATAAACTAAAAATAGAAATTAATTGTTTCAACGATAAACTCTTTCATGTTTTTAAATCGATTTTCGATAAAAATAGAAAAATGCTTAGTAATATGTTAAGCGTTTAATTTTTTTTTACGGTAGTCTACTAAGTAATATGTTGAATAATTGAAATGTTATTACGGTAATCTAATGAGTATGTGTTAACTGTTTGAATGCTATTAAGGTAATCTTTGTCTTATAGCAACGATCCTAAATGTAAGTCTTATTAATCTCTAAATTATAATTTGGCCCGTGGTTAGTATTCTGAGAGTGATCAGATATAAATATTCAAAAACTGAAATGTTCAAAATTAAAACGATCAAATTTGAAATATTCAAAAGAGATATGAACGGATTAATACAAAAACTTGACACCGATGACTCATTTGTTGAATTATATTTTTGATTGATGATAATCTCAAACTCCCAAAACCTCCTGGAGTTATTTCAGTTATCTTGATGGGCAAAGACTTGGAGCATGAGAAAGTTTATCAGTGTTAAGATAAACCTCTTTTTTTGCCGGTCCTTGAAGGTCCATGAGTAAAATGCAATATACCACTTTCACCCTCAACAGCTGTGTGTGACGCTAGGACTCCAGCAGGTACCCGCTTCCCCAGTGGAAGGTGTTGTAACCAATATTATGAATGCTTCGGTGGAACGCTTGTCGAAAGAAGTTGCCAAACAGGTATGACATCTAGTCTAGTTAAAAAGAGTTGCCCAAAAGGTAAGACAGCTATGTGACAGAAGTTGCCCAACAGGTAAGACATCTAGTCTAGTTAAAAGAAGTTGCCCAACAGGTAAGACAACTAGTCGGTAGATTTGATCTCATTTCTTTTCAATTGAGCTCCCGGAACAATTTTATGAAAATTTTGTAGGTTGCCCCCAACTGTCTAATTTATCAAGGAATAAAACCAGCAATACAATAAACACTGCGTTTAGTAGTAGATGATATGGGAAGGGGAGGCTACTCAGATGGTCTACAACACAATAAACACTGCGTTTAGTAGTAGATTACATGGGAAGGGGAGGCTACTCTGATGCAGTTAACAGGGATTACCAGCATAAAGAAAACTCACATCACCTACCAAATCTGTTAATAAAAATCATCTGTAATCTACATTTATTTTTGCTTATTGAGCTTTAGAAAACAAAGTCTTTTTTAAATCCAAACACACATTCGATACTGACCATCTCTCAATATTCCTGGATTGGTCACTATATATGTATAAATAATTTCAGGTCAATATTTCGAATCCAGTTCTAGACAGTGCACGACAGTACAGAACAAGACTTTAGTCTGTGAGAGCACTAATCGTTTTGAGTGTGACGTCGACAGGAATGGGCCCATCAGTGAGTATGACGTCATTGACATCGTCCCGTTGTCCAATCGACTTCAATAGACATTCACAATGAAAACTGTGTAAAAATACAAATGTCCTAAATCGTTATCTCTGAATACTCTCGACGGAAATGTTCTACTTGTCATTCTCGTCATCGTCTACACTCAATACGATGTGATTTCATTATGAGCAGTGGTGTCTGTATGAACGAGAAAAACAGTTGTTCCTGTCAGATATACTTCAGAACTCCTCCTTTCTTTACATTAAAATGTATCATTCCTATTTTTCAACTGAACTGAAATAAGTTCACCACCTAAAAGAGCTTGTATTGTTTTCGCATTTTTTTTTCCTGAACTACCAATTAATTTTTGGCAGTCTCCCTACTGATGGACTTGGGGGTGTTAGAAAATGAAACTATAAAAGTATCACAATAATGTGTCACCTAAGTATTCCAATGGTGTGCCGCATATATAGCCCAATGGTGTGCCGCCTAAGCAGCTCAATGGTGTGCCACCTAAGTAGCCCAGTTGTGTGCAGCATATTTAGCACAATAGTGTACCGTCCATATAGCCCACTTGTATGCCGCCCATGTAGCCCAGTTGTGTCCCGCCTATTTAAATAAAGTAAATCGCCAGAATAGTTTTACAACTAAAACAACTTTTACATTTAAAACAGAGCCCGGAGACTGTGCGGGATACGCCCCTGACCCTTTTGGAGACCCCTGCAGGTACGTAGAGCTGGGGGGGTGAGATCAGACGTTGTGACATACATTGTGACAAATATTGTGTCAAATACAGAATATTTTAAATATCCCATCTTGAAAAAACCAATGCATGTACATTTCGATCTAATCTTCACCTCCCGATCTTTAACTCAAAGAGTTAATGTTGACCCCAATGAGTTTATTATGTTTACTGAAATTGACATCTTGTGACACTTATCACATTGGAAAATGCAAACAAAAAAATATTGACACCCACCTTAACACGGTGAACTACACACGTCATCTTCTTGTGATCCTATTTATTTCAACCAACATAACCCCATTGTTGCTATACAGATACCAATTCAACGGGCTCTCACTCAAAGTCGCTGCAGGAACCATCTGGAACCAGAACAAGTGCTCCCTTGATTTCACTCGCAGAGACATCTGCTATAACAACACGGGGACCGGCGACAGGGATTTTACCGGACCAGGTGAGTAACAAGCAGACACGGGTTGGGGATGGACAAAGCGAACTGACGTCATACATTCGGGTAGTTGTTTGTCATGGTAAATTTATGAACATTTATTTTGAAGCATTAATAGTGGTCAGTCAATGGTCAGTCAATGCTCAGTCATTGCTCAGTCATTAATCAGCCACTGGTCAGTAACAGTAACTGGTCAGTCACTGGTCAGTAACTGGTCAGTCACTGGTCAATCACTGGTCAGTCACTGGTCAGTCATTGGTCAATCACTGGTCAGTCACTGGTGAGTCAATGGTCACTCACTGGTCAGTCTTTGGTCAGTCACTGGTCATTCACTGTTAAGCTGTTTTAAAAAGGCTGAAATACTAATCAAAAATAAATATTTTATTTATATTTTATTATCATTTTTTTAATATTAAGCCATGTTTAATGCTGTCTGTTAGAAACGGTAGATAAAGGGTTGAATTTAAGATTGTGAGTGAAGTGTTGAATATATGATTGTGAGTGCAGTGTTGAATATATGATTGTGAGTGAAGTGTTGAATATATGATTGTGAGTGCAGTGTTGAATATATGATTGTGAGTGAAGTGTTGAATCTACGAGTGGGAGACCTAAAATTTAATGTTATCATTTTGAGAAAATAACGAAATGAACACCATTTCAAATGTAAACAATGAAAATCTTGATTTAAATTAACGATGCGTATCCATGACAACCAGTACCTGCCAACGTCTGCAACGCTGTGTTCCTGGCCACCTACAACGGCGGCAGTAAAGCCGTGTTCAGTGAGAGGCTCAACACCGACCTTGACTTGTACACCATTCAAAAGGAAGTGCTCCTGGCCAACGACGCCCTGACCTTCACCCCGAGCATGATCGACCCTTTCCTGTACTATTACTTCTTCAACAACCGAGACATTGGCGTTAACACAGCTTTCAGAGTCCGCTTTAGGCTGGACGTAAGTGGGACTTAATTTAACACAGGTTTAATGGTCCGCTTTAAGCTGGACGTAAGTAGGACTTAATTTAGCACAGCTTTCAGGGTCCACTTTAGGCTGGACGTAAGTTGGACGTAATTAGATACAGCTTCAGGGTTCGTTTTAGGCTGGACGTAAGTAGGATGTAATTAAACACAACTTTCAGGGTTCGCTTTAGGACGGACGTTAATAGAACTTAATTTAACACAGCTTTTATGGTCCAATGTAATTTCCTTCTATAACAGAACCCAAATGTCCAAAGTAATTTCTTTCTATCTCTGAAACCAATAGTCCAATGTTATTCCCATCTTTCACAGAACCCACAGTTGAACAGAGATTACGACATTTTGTCCAACAATTACTGCGTGCTGTGCCCTGAGACCATCAGCTTCACGGTGTCAGCCACCTCTAGCAACAGACGCGTCATCAATGCCATGTTTGTTACCACAGAAGGCGTCACTGTCTCGACGACAGCAATTATTGAGCTCTTAGTGAGTATGCCATTGGTCAGGACCTTTAGAAACAAAGTATGCGATTAGTCAGGACTTTTAGACACAAAGTATGCGATTGGTCAGGACTTTTAGACACAAAGTATGCGATTGGTCAGGACTTTTAGACACAAAGTATGCGATTTGTCAGGACTTTTAGACACATAGTATGCGATTGGTCAGGACTTTTAGACACAAAGTATGCGATTGGTCAGGACTTTTAGACACAAAGTATATGATCAAAAGTATGCGATCGGTCAGGACTTGTAGACACAAAGTATGCGATTGGTCAGGACTTTTAGACACAAAGTATGCGATTGGTCAGGACTTTTAGACACAAAGTATGCGATTGGTCAGGACTTTTAGACACAAAGTATGCGATTGGTCAGGACTTTTAGACACAAAGTATGCGATTGGTCAGGACTTTTAGACACAAAGTATGCGATTGGTCAGGACTTTTAGACACAAAGTATGCGATTGGTCAGGACTTTTAGACACAAAGTATGCGATTGGTCAGGAGTTTCGGAAACAAAGTATGCGATTGGTCAGGAGTTAAGGGAAAAAATTCCGAACACCATAATTTTAATTACGTGTTAGGAATACTCTGTCCCATTCAGACAGACTTTTAATGTAACGAACATCAAGAAAACAAAAAAAGTCTGGTGATTATAATAGAAATATAACTATCACTGAAAGAGTAAGTTATAATTAGTACCGTACAGGGAAATGATTTTTGATCAATTTGAAGCGTAACAAATTTGTCTTTCTCATGAGTTTCGTCTCAGCACAGCAGTCGTGGATACAACCAACAATTTTCATTGAAGGGAATCTTTCGACCCCCCCCCCCTCATCCCACTCTTTCCCACCCCAGGCTCTGTTGGGGATGATTTAATGTTATAGTTTTTCACCCCAACCCAATGATCAATGCTAGCACTGTCAGGGTCTTTCCTCATGAAGTCTATGAGAATTACCCTCCCATGGTTAATGCCTGGTTATTTGGCGACTATACGACAGTTGTCCTTCTTGCCTGTGTTTCTTGTTACCTGTATGTATCTACATATCTGTATCCATTTAACTGTTGAATGTAATTGTTGAAGTTACTGTTCAGTGAAACTTGTACAACATAATCTCATTTTGGTGTAATTAATCTTCAAAGAAAAAGACACCTGCACAAGATGTGTAGAAAATCAAAAAGTGTACACATTAGCAGTTGCGTGTGTACTTAACTACCCTGTAGAAAAACAAAAAGAAACGACCGCCTCTAGCCTGCCACTTGCAGGGTATTTGCCAGCGTGTATCTGCGCGGGAATGCAAAGCTCTTCAGGCTCAAGTCTGCACGATCAAAGTATTTATTAGCGAGGAACCCGAATGTTAAATATTTATATCATAACGGGATTAAATTTATTTTAAAATTTAAAACAGAATTTCACTCAACCTCTTGCCTTTCAAAAAAAATTATTAAAAATTAAAATATGGATTAATTCCTTTTATAAAAAAAAAGGATTTTAAGAGCGACCCCCAGGAAACTCTAGGGGTCGTGTTATATCAAAAGTGTTGAAACTCTCGGACCAAGCACTCACTTCCCATTTCTACAATACACTCATGACTATCAATAGCACAACAGGTCCTCCAATGCAAAGAGTGAACTTTTTTTTTTTTTTGAGCTTCCCTTCAAGATTTCTCTCCAAACTTCGATGTTGAAGGTAAACGTTTTAAGTCTGTGTGGTATGATCTCCACAGAACACAAGTGATCTACTGGAGATGGTCGTGATCTATGGCGATAGCACAGTGTACGGCAAGGTGTACGAGGTCAGCGGGTCCAACACCGTTGTACGGTCTGCAGATTTTAGCACAGTTGGAAAATCACAAGGAAGTAAGTCTCCGCTGGAATTCACTTTTAAAGTATTACTTTATATATCCACTTTTCTTGGTCCACTTTTATATATGCACTTAAATTTATCCACGTTTCTATATCCACTTTTTTATAACAACTTTTCTATTTTCTGTCTTTCCATACCTTCATATCAATAGCCCACATAGAGTCATTTGAGTATTTCCATCGAGCAAGTGTCCTCAAACTTTTTAAACAATGGGTCGGATCAGTGTCCCTCAGACCCTGTCGGGGGCCGGACTATAGTTTGAAAAAATATGAACGGATTCTATGCCCAGTGCACATATATCAATTCTTTGCACACTGAACATATCTCGATTATCTACACACTGCACATATCTAAATTCTTTGCACATTGCACATCTCTCATTTCAATTTACAATGCACAAATATCATTTGTTTTGAAGAAACATGTTTAAAAAAAAACATATTCAAAATTAAAATTATGGCGGCGAGCCGGTACAAGGACCCCTGGTAGGCCGGACCTGGCCTGCGGGCCTTCGATTGAGGACCTCTGCTCTAGAGAAAAGCCACTCTTACTTAAATGAATGTAACCCATGGAAATGTCAATATATTAGTTGAGGCAATTCAGAAACTTCAAACATTATAAATATATATATAAATGTGTATATATAAATCAAACCACTAATGCTGTGATATATTAAATATTGAAATATTGGTATTCAACAAGGAAAAGGAAATATTTTAAAGTATATCTAGACACAGCTACATACGGGATTGATAGGATAAATTTGAAAGTATATCTAGCCGCTAGATAATTAAAAGATAGGACTAGGACATATTTTAAAGTATATCTAGACACACAACCCTCTACTTGAAAGAAGGACATATTTGAAAGTATATTTAGACACATTTGTATTGTAACATATTTGCAGATAGACTCATTCCTATATTTAAACCATCAGTTGACTTCAAGTGTCAATAGATGTCATAATTTACTTAAGCTCTAATAATAGACCAACAACAGACCTGATCTGACATTGTGTCCACCATTTGCTTTCAGCACACATTGCTATAAATAGATGCGGTATTCAGATGGGGAAAGGCCCTAATTCACACTTCGTTGGTCTGATTGATGACGTAAGTACATTTGACATTTTCCCTACTGCTGCTTGGGTTAATAGATATTTGTCACCAAGGTCATTCTTCTTTTCAAATATGGTAAAAATTATCTGTGCTAAACATGTCTTTTCAATCATGTCTGTGTTCAACTTGTCTGTGTTTTATATATATATATGTTAAACTTATATGTGTTAAACATGTTTTCCCCATATAAACACTCACCATGTCTCCCTATGTGAAAACTTACCATTGTTGTCCCTATTTAAACACTCATTATTTGTGTCCCTATGTAAACACTTATCAATTTTACCCCAAAATAAACACTCAACATATGTCTCCCCAGTTTGCTGTGTATGAGAACTGTCAAAACATCAACTCTGTACTGAGATAAGTCCGTTATACAACAAAGATGCATAATACAAAAAAGATGCATGAGACAACAAAGATGCATAATACAACGAAGATACATGATGCAACAAAGATACGTGATGCAACAAAGATACAAGATGCAACAAAGATACATGATGCAACAAAGATACATGATACAACAAAGATACGTGATGCAACAAAGATACATGATAAAATAAAGATAATGTTACAAAAAATATACATGATACAAAAAGGATAAAAGATGCAAGCTGTAAAAACCAACTTAAGATGATAAGACTACAACAACCAGTAGTGATCTTATATCCCTAGAGTTCATCTTCAACTCATGCAGAAGAAGTACTGTACATTTGATTGTATTGTAAAATATAAAAGTAAAGTTTTAATGGAATGAAAATAAATAATTTATTTAAAAACAACTTAAATTGTGTCATTATAATTAAGGATTATTTACTTGGTCTCTCAATTGAAGAGTCGTGTATTTCAGAACATGAAAGTAAATGTGCTGTGGCCGGGAAATATTTGCTGCTGTCATGACTCAATTCTTGACTCTGATCGCGCGTCACCATCGTATAGATTCAAATTAATCTTTTAAATTTTTCTCAAGGCTCTTGGCATTATAATTTTTTTTAAAAAATCACATTATGTTACTTTATATTCAAACCGGGGGGTTGGGGGGGTGGGGGGGAGAATCCTGGTAAAAAAAAGTCTGGCCAGAAACTCAAGACGCCCTCCCCCCCCCCCCCCTCACCCGATCACTATTTATTACGGATGGTTTCTGTAGTGGGCTGCTAACAGGAACGGCGTTCCCATCGTAGAAAATGTACCGTACCTTTGTGTTCTTACACGACCCCTGCCCTTTCTAAACCTATTGTTTTGTAACATAAATAAATTATCTATCCAAAACGCTTTCAATGTCACTCTCAATGACACTGTAAATGTCACTGTCAATGTCACTGCCATTGGCACTGTCAATGTCGCTGTCGATGTCGCTGTCGATGTCGCTGTCGATGTCGCTGTCGATGTCGCTGTCAATGTCACTGGCATCAAGCAACCGAAATTCTCAAAAAATCGTGGATGACGTCAAATGTTCGCACAATTAAGGCAGATACATCTGGCATTTGTGTTTTAAAAAAATGTTCACTATAGTAATTTCCTTAAAAATTATTTGCACATATCACAGTTGATGTGACCTGTCCATGTACACAAAGATCACATTTGATGTGACATGTCCATGTATAGAGTTTAATGGAACGTCCCACGTCAATTTTATCAGTTCTACTGCCTCCCATTCAATATCAGCCCCAGTGTTGTCATGTTGTCAGTTCTACTGCCACCTATTCAATGTCAGCGCCAATGGTGTCATTATGTCAGTTCTACTGCCACTTACGACATGTCAGCCTCAGTCGTGTCATATTGTCAGTTCTACTGACACCTATTTAATGTCAGCCCCAGTGGTGTCATATTTTCAGTTCTACTTTTACAGTCTTAGTTTGAACTCTCTAATCCAAGGTGTTTAAAGTATACCTAAAACGAAAGGGTCACATGAAGAAAAGTGAACTTTTCAATGACCTCTGACCTCACCCATGCGGATAATTGCTTTTCATTTTTCACAGTTTTCTGCTAAATGTGCATTTGTAGTCGTAAGAGAAAATGAGTGTACTTGAATGTGCTCTAACTGAATGTGTGGGAATAAAAGATTTAGCAACATATGAATTGATTGTAGTTTAACACATGTAAACTGATTGTATGTGATAACATATGACTTGATTGTAGTTGACAACAAATGAAATGATTTAATTAGACCGTTTTTTTCCCTATCAAATGTTTTTCAAATGTTTTCAATATTGTTTCAAGATTCAAGTTTTTCAAAGACGTCCTGATTTGTACGGTTACCCTCCAATTCGAATGTTTGTCTGAAGTGGGTCACAAAGACGTCTTCGAGTAAATGACACCAGATCAGAGCGCACACAGTCATTGGACATTATATTTGACATAAGATTAATTCAGCAAAGATCGGATTTTCCGAGCAGGCAAGCGAAGACTTCTGATACCTTACTAAGACCGTTGTTAGCCGGTTCTACGCTTCGTAGGTCACGTGATATGAAATACGGCGTCATCACGACGTATCGAAATGGAAACAGTTTGCAGATGACAAGTGGCATACACTGCAGCAAGTGTTTGAAACCACAGATGACAAATGGCTGACATTGCTGCAAGTGTTTGAATTCACAGATGACAAGTGACATACGATGCAGCAAGTGGTTGAAACCACAGATGACAAATGACATACGATGCAGCAAGTGGTTGAAACCACAGATGACTAGTGACATACGATGCAGCAAGTGGTTGAAACCACTGGCACTTTAAATTTACCACATAACAGAAGAGATGTTACCATATTGGAAAAAAAAATCTATAAATAATTTAAAACAGAATATAAATAAAAATAAGTTCGCCAACATTGTGGATTGACAGAATCAGCTTGATAAAACGTGAACCACATTAAGAGTGAGATGAAAAGTAAGAGATGAAAAGAAAGGAAAAAGACAGCAATGTAGAAAGAGAGAGATTTTAGAGATAAGGAGAGAAAGGATGTAGTGAGGATATAAAAAAGATACACAGAGAGAGAGGGGTAAAGAGAGAATAGAGAGATAGGGAGATAGTGTAGAAACTGAGAGAGAAAAGAGAGTTCAGAAATGAGACGAACAGTAAAGAGACGACACATAGTCAGATATGGACATCAACATATAAAACGTAAGAAAGAGAGAGAGAAAGTAGAAGTGGCTGAATAGATACAGCTCCGATGGCGCGAACAATGAACAGGTGAACTGACATCAGGGAATGGCTTGACGGATTTAATCTAACAATGCGCATGCGCGTGCCAAATATAACTTTTAAAAAAAAATGTATTGTTTATGGATAGGTGCTGGTGTTGGGGTCAGATCGACCTTTAAGTCAATCAAGTGCATGATGGGTAGGGTTTGCGTTAAGACCAACTGACATGACGGAACAAGTGAATGATGGGTAGTGTCTGTGTTTACAGGAGCTGACATGACGAAATCATGGCATGATGGGTAGTGACTGTGTTTAGAACAAATGTCATGATGGTACCAGTGCATGATGGGTAGTGTCTGTGTTTGGACCAAATGACATGACGGAACCAGTGCATGATGGGTAGTGTCTGTGTTTAGACCAAATGACATGACGGTACCAGTACATGCTGGGTAGTGTCTGTGTTTAGACCAAATGACATGACGGTACCAGTGCATGCTGGGTAGTGTCTGTGTTTAGACCAAATGACATGACGGAACCAGTGCATGATGGGTAGTGTCTGTGTTTAGACCAAATGACATGACGGTACCAGTACATGCTGGGTAGTGTCTGTGTTTAGACCAAATGACATGACGGTACCAGTGCATGATGGGTAGTGTCTGTGTTTATACCAAATGACATGACGGAACCAGTGCATGATGGGTAGTGTCTGTGCTTAGACCAACTGACATGACGGAGTCAATATGGACTGATACACTGGTCCCCACTTCTTTACACTGGTACACTTGTACACACTGGTACACACATACAAGATCTGATGTCATGTTCCATTTTCTAACATCACTTTCAGGTTAACGTGGAGCCTACACAGAGCTTACCCTGTGCTCATGTTTACACAAGGCTTATATTGTGTTTATGTTTACACAGAGCTTATCTTGTGTTTATGTTTACACAGAGCTTATCTTGTGTTATGTTTACACAGATATTATCTTGTGTTTATATTTACACAGAGCTTATCTTGTGTTCATGTTTACACAGTACTTACTTGTGTTTATATTTACACAGAGCTAATCTTGTGTTCATGTTTACACAGAGCTTATCTTGTGTTTATGTTTACACGGAACTTAAATTGTGTTCATGCTTACACAGATCTTATCTTGTGTTCACGTTTAAGTAGTTATGTACATAAAACGTGGTGTAAAAATGGACAGTCTAATAGTTGTGAACATTAAAGATATGCAACACATATCCAGTTTGTTCACGGGGTTGATACTACGAATGTCAAAGCTACTAATGGAACCAGCAACCTTCGTGAAACTTTGTTATTGTACGATAACAACCTTCATAGACCTTAATAAAGTAAATTTATCTTCAAAATTCTATACTAAAAAAATGTAAAGCTTCATAAGCCAAAAAATTTAAAACTATTTTAAAGCAGTTTGGTTTTGATCAAATATTTCAAGGTGATTAGCATTGTAATAGCTGATATGAAAAGGAAGACTGGAAATTCTTGGAGATGTGAGGCACGGAATGAGTTCCCACCCTGTGCCATCAGCAAGGGATGGGTGGCACAGAAGGGCGTGCCACCCTATTTCTGTCAAGGAGCATATTTTCAAGGGATGTTTGGTGATACTCATTTCTTACCACGCTCCTAGAGTAAAGTGTAGACACTTGAATGGTGTGCAAATGTTTGCCATTGCTGTGCACACATTTCAAAAACGCAGTCGCACCATCTTAAGTGAACCTGGCCGGTCTGAATCAAAAGACACGAAAACAAAAAGCCAAGAGGGTGTTGCGTGAAGATGTGGAGGTGGGGAGCCTAGTTAAGACGGGGCGCCTCGGCGGTAGGTATGATGGTCCTCGCCGTTCAGATGATGATTTGCTGGGCCCCAAAGAGGATTTGTATCAAACAAAATACCTGAATTATTTAAAATGACAAAATTAAAAATATGGGTGTTTTGAATAGATGACACTGCACCAACACTCGTCGTCATTGGGAACCTAAAGTTTCGGAAACTGTTACCTGGTGATAAAGATGAGTTCTTGGTCAATAAAATTCCACAAGATACAGTTTTTAACTAAATCAAAGGGGTTGAAATGTTCAATGTCATTTTGCATACATACCCAGCTACCGTTCGTAGCTAGTATTTTAAAAAAAAAATTTTGTAAAAAGATGTAGAGCCGCTAAAAACAATATGACGTAGCTTTAAAGGGTTGAGGACCGCGACAGATCGGTTCAAAGATGAATTCCCAAAGACATGACGGTAATTATGTGTTTTAGGTGGTCCAATTATGTCCGAACCACATACCAATGGGCCAATATTAAGGTGGTCCAATTATGTCAGAACCACATACAAATGGGCCAACATTAAGGTGGTCAAATTATGTCAGAACCACATACCAATGGGCCAATATTATGGTGGTCCAATTATGTCCGAACCACATACCAATGGGCCAATATTAAGGTGGTCCAATTATGTCAGAACCACATACCAATGGGCCAATATATTGTCTCAACACAAATCAGATTAACAAATTTCTAAAACCGATGAGTCAGGACAAATGTCTTAAAGACATAAATATACACATAAATATACACATATATGTAAAAATAAAATAACATATAAATATGTTTTAAATGTAATGTGAACATCGGCATTTATAATTAAAATAAACCTTCTCTGCTTACAGCGTGAGATTCCTAAAATTATTCAAATAACGAAAAGCGTATGACCCACATAACCCTATATGTACATACGCGAGACATAAATATTAGGTTTTGTCAACAAATGAAATGATTGGTCCGTCCAATCTTAAGCCTACACCCACTTCATAATTTCATAACAGTGGGGTAGGAAGTATTGGGAAAAGGGGGGGGGGGCGGGGGGAGGGGGGGCTGGGAGAATGTGGATGTAAAGATGTGTGCATACTTGAGGTGCAAGGGGTGGGTGGGTGCACGGGGGGGTGGGGGGTATTGTGCACATGGGCTGGGTGTGGAGGTGCGTCACTTGCGGGGGAAGAGGGAGGGGGGGCATGCTTGCCCACATCAGTATATGATTATGTTAAAACACATAAGCTCCAGATTTATCCTATCGTGACGCTGAGCGTAGGTCGCTCCTGACCAGACCCGAAGCTGTATAAAAAGGTGAGCAGACGGACAGAGAATTCAAAACAGGTTAAGACCATTTCGGAACTAGCAACTCAACAGTTTTAAGGAACAAGAAATCTAATCGAAACAAGGAAATAATTTTTCATATTTGTAACTCAACAAGGAAACCAAACGCCATTGTAACATTGATCAAGACGAAGAAATTTACAAGTTTTAATAGAAAGAATTTAAATCTACCTGACTTAACCTAAGCGATTTATACAAAATACGTTATACGCTATACGCTTTATCAATATCGGTAAGGACAGTGTAGAAGCTCTAATTATTTTACCTCCTTGATTACAAGTTTAATTCGTGTGCTCGCAGAATGTAACAAGGTTTGGCATTGTGTACTCGTCAACTCAGTTTATCTGTTAATAGAGAGACGGCTCAGAGAGGCATGGATAATAGGGACATGGTTATAGAGAGATGGCTTATAGATTAATGGCTTATAAACTGATGGCTTATAGAGCGATGGCTTATATATTAATGGCTTATAAACTGATGGCTTATAGAGCGATGGCTTATAGATTAATGGCTTATAAACTGATGGCTTATAGTGAGATGGCTTATAGAGAAATAGCTTATAGAGAGAAAGATTATAGAGAGAAAGATTATATGGTATACATTATTATTAGTTAAAATAAAGTTACTAAATATGTTATTACACTAATTAAATAATCGTATATTGAAGTTCGCGTGTGTGGATTAGAATTGTGGCCAGTGTGCTGAATATTTTATTGTTTGCAGTTTCAGTTACACATCAAACATGCAAGCTCTACATCTACTCACGTTCACATGCTATTACACTAATTAAATAATCGTATATTGAAGTTCGCGTGTGTGGATTAGAATTGTGGCCAGTGTGCTGAATATTTTATTGTTTGCAGTTTCAGTTACACATCAAACATGCAAGCTCTACATCTACTCACGTTCACATGCCTGGTTGTCGCAGCCCTCGCACAAAGTAAGTTATTGCATTGAGATGAAAGAGCAATGTCGGATTCACGAGTTTTAATTGATAAGTTTTGTGTGTTGTTTAATATTATTACCTTTTAATTCTAATTAGAAATATTGAGTGGTAACACTAACGACGTCCAACTTATTGTGGCACTATGAGATGCACATCGTTTCTATGGGATGTACAACAGGTCTATGGGATGTACAACATTTCTATGGGATGTACAGCATTTCTATGACATGTACAACATTTCTATGACATGTACAATATTTCTATGAGATGTACAACATTTCTATGACATATAAAATATTTCTATGAGATGTACAACATTTCTATAAGATGTACAACGATTCTATGAGATTTACAATATTTCTATGAGATGTACAACATGTCTATGAGATGTACAACATTTCTATGAGATTTACAGCATTCTATACGATGTACATCATTTCTATGAGATGTACATCTTTTCTATGAGATGTAAAACATTTCTGTGAGATGTACAACATTTCTGTGAGATGTACAGCATTTTTATGAGATGTACAACATTTCTGTGAGATGTACAACATTTATGTGAGATGTACAACATTTCTAAGAGATGTAAAACATTTCTGTGAGATATACAACATTTCTATGGGACGTACAACATTTCTATGACATGTAAAACATTTCTATGACACGTACAAGATTTCTAAAAGATTTACAATATTTCTATGAGATGTACAACATTTATTTGAGACGTACATTTCTATGAGATGTACAACATTTCTATGAAGGGTTCAAAATGTAGGTGTACACAATAAGCGTTTAATTCACTTTCGTAATCGCATTTATAAAATATAAAGACATGCCAACACAGAGTAATCAGAGTATACTTTTATTGAGATGAAAACACAATTTAGTTAAAGTATACTTGGTATGTTTCCATTAAATTTTTAAGTTTCAATATTTGTCCCCTATCATTTTCTTACCGTAACGTGATCTTGAAATTCTTTAAATAAGGTAAAAAATGTTGTTTGAGCGTGTCGAGATACAGATAGAAACATTTTTTTATCGTTATTTCAGCTGGCCCAGACACAGATATAATATTTCTCTTCTTATTTCAGCTTGCCCAGACACAGATATAACATTTCTCTTTGACCAATCAGAGAATGCCCTGACCGCATCTACCAACAATCCTTCTAACTTAGATACCAGATTCGACATTCTAGTTGACCAATTCACTAATGCGATGAGAAATTCACGCATTGTCAACACACCGAGTACTAACACAATAAGGTAGTACAATCATTTTTAGTCTTTTAGAGTAGAACTATGAGTAGTCTTTAGAGTTTAAACACCATACATTACAATCATATGGAGCTTGTATTGTTGAAAACAATGCTATCAATGCCCTTAAAGTTTCTTTAACGTAGTCAACAGATTCTTCCACAGGGCGACCGAACACACACAAATGCGCACACACACAAACACACAGACACATTTCTATATATACCGCCTAAAGCCAGAGCATATGGTAGGGCGTGTAATATGTTTTAAATGTAATTAAATGTATACACTATGTGTATAGGAAACGGCTTTTACATTTCTTTCGCTCCTTTAAATTTGCATATATCTTAATTTTGGTGGCTATAATTTTTAAAGTTTGGTGGTTATATTTTAAATTTGGTGGTTGTATTTTAATTTGTGTGGCTTTCGTTTAGTTGTTGTTGCAATTTTTGTATGCATCCATTAACACTATTTCAATTTTGCCTATAAAAATAAACTATTATTATTAAGTCTATTTGAGATAATTGCGTTAGCATTGTAATATACAAGTAAAAAGATTTCAGATAGAGAATAACCATAGACAGCATGAACTAAAGACAATTTAAAAAAAAAAAATAAGTCTCTATTTCTCTCCGACCTACAGAATAGGGGCCTATGGCTACAGTGGTAGTGGTGCTGTCGCGACGGTCATCCCCCAGGGCTCGTCCCCTGCCACTGCCATCAGTTCTATTCGCCAGGGCTTGCTTGTGAGCTCTAACGTGAGTAGAAGGATTTCTGACCGGTTTTTACATAGAGGGTAGAAATTTAGACAGTCATGTAGCGGTAGTTAGAATGTAAGACTTAGACAGTCATGGGGAAGTAGTTAGAATGCTAGACTTAGACAGTCATGTAGCAATAATTACATTCGTACACTATGACGGTCATGTATCAGTAGTTAGAATGTCATTAATTTTATATTTAGTTTAAGTATGGCTGTTATGGTCACAAGAATTTCTTTCATATAAAAATACACAACTGCAGCTGGAGTTGTTACGTAAAATTTTAGCTTCGGCCCATTTTTTTGTTTTACGTCTGCACTGACTCATCCGATCTATTGAAATCATCTGATTGTTACGGTAAACTTGAAAATTCACTGTAAACATTTTCTTTTCTCATAATGATTTTTTTTTTTCAAATGCATGCAAAAAATTGAATCAATTAAATATAACTTGTAATTCCATTGATTTTAAGTCTGGTTCATGGACGTACCGTGGTCTGCAAGGCATCACATCCGGACCCTCCTACACCAACAACGTCCTGATACTTGTATCCTCACAAGGATCAAATAATCTCAACAGGAGGTTGTTGGCCCAACAAGAGGCTCAAAGAGTCCGTTCTTTGGGTTGGGACATCAAGGTCATTGCCGCCCAGGTAAGTTGTCGAATCGATGCTTCAGGCTGTAAGCCAAATGAATCCTTTGTTAACATTCTATCAGCATTGCGTTGTTGACGTCAACAAAATAAATATAATGCTTTGTACTGGGTCAGAGGTTAACATGAGATTTTCTTTGATTTTAATATGGACAAGAAATTTCCAATGGTAGCACTATCTAATACTAATGTATAAGTGGTGGTCTTATGCTACACATATTTTAACCCAAGTACTTCCAGTCTTTACAAACATGTTGCCATAACTAGGTCTTTAAACATAATCTAACGACAGCCATCTGAATCACGTGTGATAGATACATTTTGAACTATGACGATCAAGAGTTTTCTTATTTGAAATAAAACTTTTGAGGTTAAAATTGATTTAAACATTGTCAGCTGCCAGGTTGTGGAGACGATGTGTCTGAGGATGAGGGAACTCCCAGAAATTCCTGTTTATAATCCTCGGGGAGGGGGGGGGGTGCGTGAAATATGTTTTAAAATCGAGTAGGTCGTGTAGGAAATGTTTTAAATCAAAACTAAGGTACGGCGTGCAAAACTGGTTAAGAAGCCCTGATTATTGCATATTTCTTTTTAAATTACGGTTTGATTTTGAATTTATTATTTTTTTTTTTTTTTTTTTTTTTTTTTTTTTTAATTATGGTTTGATTTTGAATTTATTATTTTTTTTTTCTATTTTTTTTTTTTCTATTTTAAGAAACGAGTGAAATGTATTTATAATACACCAACACTCAAAACTTAGAAATAATATTGACTGTTTCTATTTCAGGGCAAGAACCCCGTCGACTTTCAAGAGTTGATCATTGTCAACAACAACCAGTTTCCCATTGTCATCAACGACACAACGAGCACAGATGACCCCAAGAGTTACCGTCTTCTCCGGACCGAGTTGGACAACATCATCAACAGTCTCTGTAACGCGTACCCCACGACGACAACGACAACCACAACGTCAACCACCACTCCAGTGACTACCACAACACGCACCAGCACCACAACCAGCACCACCACAACCACTACAACGACGCCCAGACCAATCGTAACCAGACCTCCTAACTCAAGTGAGTCTTAAAATAACTCAATCAGTTTAAATACTGGGTTTTCTTAACTTTTGTAATTAAATTGGCCCCTTTGTCGTCGGACGAAGTAACTGGACCGTTTATTAGAATAAACTTGATCATGAATAACATAAAGTACAAAGTAAAAGAAGATCATGGGCCACCGGATACCGCACACGGACCGGACCGCAATACAAAGACCCCAGGGTAATCCGTCAACCAAAAATTAAACGCTCATGTCCTAAGACCTTTTCAGAATAATGTGTACATCGAAACTTTAAGGAATTGATTGAAAATGTGTACATATATTTTATTTTGCCAAGAACAGACGTAAACCGTAAATACAGTAGCGTCAGAATCATGTAATCACATTTTGGAAGCTATTTCAACATTAAAATGAAACCCTGACAATGTCACTGAAACCCTGACAATGTCACTGAAACCCTGACAATGTCACTGAAACCCTGACAATGTAATCTAAGTTTTGATGACATTCAATTAAAATGTAACAACTTCTATTGTTCAACATGTCAGTCTGCCAGGGAAAACTCAATTTCTAATTGGTTAAATTACTCAACTGTAATGCTCTAGTAATGACTAACCCTGTGACTGTCTATTGCCCAGTTTGCAGTGAATGTACTTTCGATAGCGGCTACGGCTTCGACTCTGACCCCATGTACTGTGACACCTTCTTCCACTGTCTGCCGGACTACACGCCCATCAAGAAAATGTGTCCTTCCGGAACCTTCTGGGACGGCGTCCAGTGCAACTTCATCGACAAAGTCAGGTGCCCGTCAGGTAAGACGTCAACCTCGATATTAACCCATTATTTACATACAACAAGTAGCGATGATGACAGTTAAAGGAAAACAGCGATGACATTGTCATTTGTATTTAAGTTTTTAGTACTAACAAATTGTTGCATTCAATGAAGAAATCAGGATTGAGAAAACAGACAAAAATTAAACAATGTGTCAGAAAAAATTAAAACAGTGATTACCAACGGAGCAGCTGTTGGAGAGTATTTCGAAAGAATGGAATGTAGAAACTCATATAGCCTCTAAACACTAGGAGGCCTCTAAATGTCGCCTTATGGTGACATCGCGTATACGGTGTTGAAAGCTATAGTAAATGGAATGCAGCCATGGTAATATAATAATATAATAATTGCTCTTAAAAAACCGTAAGTGGTTAACATGGATGGCCTGGTATTTCTATATTTAACTCAACCATCTAATTCATTTTTTTCAGTGAGAAGTTCAAATAAATAAGACAAAATGATTATTTAAAAAAAGCATTCAATGAAATTACATATCATTAACCAAAATCTAATGCCATGACACACATCGCATTTTATGGCCCCAACACATGTACCTATCGTCACCCCATGCCCGGACCCCTTGGAATAGCTGGACAGTCATTACAGGACACGACTATCTTAAATGGTACGACCCCCCTTCTAATCAATAATCTGCATTCGGCTGAGTTATTTTGCACTTTATGACAGACACTAACGCAGTATCCATCATTAACTAGTAAAGGACAAAACTCCCATTATATGCCGCAATTCTCGTCATTTTTATCTGTTTTTCCTCATTTACATTACTTTCATTAAGTTACATATTTTGTCATTCACACATATAAATTAATTTCTCCAAAACATTGATTTTGAACGAATAGCATATTGCGAAATGCTGAAGTAATCGTTCACTCGAAGCGTTCGCAAAATCTCTAAGCTTCTTGTCTACATTAGCAAGCTACGTCTTGTCATTTGTACAAGCTTTGCCCGTTCTCCAGTTAATGAACTAGTGCACGTCAATCCTTCTATCCCCACAGCCGTCTGCAACGCCAACACACCAGCCAACACCAGGTACCCCAGTGGAAGATGCTGTAACAAGTATTACGAGTGCTCCAGCGGCAAACTCTACGAGGTCAACTGTCCAGTCGGTGAGTTGATTGGAACATGCTACCTCCAACGTAGCTATACTTTATGGGATTAGGCTTGTTATTTAGTGTTAAAAAGAAATTCAAGTGTGTTTGCTTGTGTGTATGTTTGTTTGCTTGTTATTAAATGAGTCATCTAACTTAATTCGAGGGAGGAAACGTGAAAAAAAAATTTGTGTTGAAATACGTTAAACATTTACAGTAGAAGTTTGTAGCATTTCATTTGAACAGACACATTTACAAACAAGTCAGATAAGTCCATCTTTACCACTACAGGGCAGGTATTCGATAACACGACAAAGAATTGCCAGGTAGTCGCCGACATAAGGACCACGTGCCAGCTCTCCAACAGATACGAGTGTGAGGTCAACAGGAACGGACCAATCAGTGAGTGGAACGTATATATATATATATATATATATATATATATATGTTAATCGTAATGTATTGGGATACGATGTATTACTCTTCGTCTGTCGGATTCCAATCGACAGGTGGTCGTATCCATTGTTTAAAGACGGAGTAAGACAAGAAATAATCACTGACAAAACATGGTCTCGGCTTTTCGCCAAGAATAGCCTAGACCATCACAGCGTTAACCAATGGTTTGGAATAGCTAGATCATCATAAGAGTTAACCAATCGTCTAGAATAGCTAGACAATAATATGAGTTAACCAATGGTCTAGAGTAGCCTAGACCATCATAAGTGGTTAAACAATGATCTAGAATACCCTAGGCCTTGACTATCATATGAGTCAACCAATGGTCTATAATAGCCTAGACTATCATAGGAGTTGAACAATGGCCTAGAATAGTCTAGACCATCATAGCATTTATTCTCAAAACAACTAGTTCAATGTTAACTTTTATTTTAAAACTTTTATTCTAAACCATTTATTTTTTAAAAAATTAACAGTTTCAAATCTGCTGGCTCAACTGATTCATTTTTAAAATAGTAATATGATTCCTATGTCTTTTCAAGACATTTTTTTCTCCCCTTATTTCCTTCTTGTCGGTGCGTCTGACCAGCGTAATTTTGTTAGTCTACACACGCGACTGGGCGCGTTTAATTCATCGCCTGTTTCGTGGTTCCCTGAAAGGTCGCATTTGACTTGTGTCAAAGAAAGTCTGTGCAGATTATAATTGCAAACCGTAATACAAATAAAGGATAATAATATTTTAAGTTTCGTCTCAATTCAATTCGAATCTTATTGCTAGATAGAGTCCTACAGATAGTGATATATAGACTACTATATAGAGTGCTACATAGATTGCAACAATGTGCAGTTTACACCCTAAATCTAATTAAACTTTATACACTTAATCTTCCAGGCCCAATATACAATTATAAAAGATACATCTTTTTGAAAACTGTCATATTTTAGAAATAAAGTTGTGTTTTTCTTTGTTTTTTTTTTGTTCAAAAGAAAAAGTCCTTGAATTTTTTTACTCCTATTTTCAGACACTACTGACTGTTCTGGATACGCTCCTGATCCATACGGTAATCCATGCAAGTAAGTTTACATTACACGTTGACTTATCCAATCCTTGAATATCCATTTTACATGTCAGCAATTAAGTTGGATGATTGAGTTTCCGTTGAAAAAGTGAATGTCCGTTGAAATAGTGAATGTCCGTTGAAAAAGTGAATGTCCGTTGAAATAGTGAATGTCCGTTGAAATAGTGAATGTCCGTTGAAATAGTGAATGTCCGTTGAAATAGTGAATGTCCGTTGAAATAGTGAATGTCCGTTGAAATAGTGAATGTCCGTTGAAATAGTGAATGTCCGTTGAAATAGTGAATGTCCGTTGAAATAGTGAATGTCCGTTGAAATAGTGAATGTCCGTTGAAATAGAGAATGTCCATTGAAAACGTAAATTTCTGTTTTAAAAAAAAATGAATGTTCGTTTAAAAAAGTGAATGTCTGTTGTAATATAGGTCAAGTGGAAATGTGTAATAGGCTCACAAATGAATAACTGCTTTGACCAAACTCTGATAACATAAGTCACACGTGATCAACCTTTCATGAGCTGTATCTTTCAATGTGCAATCCGTGTTTGTCCCTAATTCTGATCAGATACCAGTTCAACGGATACTCCCTGAAGGTTGCCCCAGGCACTCGGTGGATTCAGGAAAAATGTACTCTGGACTACACCACGAAGGACACCGGCTACACTACCGGCGGTACCAGTGACCGGGACTTCTCTGGGACCGGTAAGTCTTTCTTTAACGTCATTTGAAAACATGAAACCAAAACCAAAAAAAAAAAAAAAAACAATTATGCTCGTCTCCAATAACTGCCAACTCATCATTTCTTAACAAAACAAAGAAAGAAAGGAATACAAATCAAAGGCGTTTCTACATTACTCACCTTGTTCCCTCCACCTTGAATATTCTTTTGTCTTCGTATCTTCCGGTGACGAGGGGTCAAGTCACCTGTTCTCTTTCTGGATATTTATTTAATAGACAAGTAGAGTTGTTCAGGGGATGAATAAAGGGAAAATATAATTTTAAGAAAAACAACATATTTTTTATTTTTATAACATTTTTATAAAGAGTTGTTAATAGGTACAACTTTTATGGACAGTATGTTGTCCGTGGACATAATGTAGAATAAGATCAATTGGACTAAGTGCAACGGTTATATCAACACTCAACATGTCTCAATAAAAAGTCTCCATCTATCTTTAAATGTTGCCCTATCATTTCAAAAGTTGATAACTTACTCCATGTTTACCCAACTGTTCACCCATCCGTTTACCGATCTGTCCAGTCCCAGCAAACAACTGCAGTGCCGTGTTCGTGGCCAACTTCAACGGCGGGAGTCGCGTTGTCTACAGTGAGCGTCTCGACGCCAACCTGGACGTGTACTCAATCCTGAACGAGGCGTACCTGGCCAACAACGCGCTGGTCTTCAACGCCACCATGGTTAAGCCCCTTCTCTACTACTACTTCTTCAACAACAGAGAGCTCAGGTCCAACACCGCCTTCAAGGTCACATTCAGACTGGATGTAAGTGACACACGTTTATTACAACAACTTTAAATAAACACACGCTAAACTGATGAGTGTCATACTCCATGCATCTTCTGCTAGTTCAACAAGTTGTCGTATGTGTGCAAGTCACGTGCTCAGCAAGCAGTGAAAAGTTGAAGTCACAATGTTGTTGGTAGTTAAAAACGAGGCTAAAAAGAATATTAACTGTGCGACCTTTGCCCTTCCGCAGAACCCTGTTTTAGCCAGAGAGTATGACATCCTGTCCAACAATTACTGCAGTCAGTGTCCAGACACGATCAGGCTGACCGTTGCTGCTACCGACGCCAGGCGACATGTTGTGACTGCCACTTTTGTCACCTCGGATGGAAAAATCGTGCAGTCGTCAGCCATCATTGATAAAAATGTAGGCACTGGTTAGGGTTACGGTTACGGTTAGGGTTAGGGTTTATGGTTAGGGTTAGGGTTACGGTTAGGGTTAATGGTTAGGGTTAATGGTTAGGGTTAGGGTTATGGTTAAGGTTAGGCTAAGCATGGGGTGGGGACAGTTACCCTAACCCTAGCCCGGCACTTGTTTAATAGTTTCAATAGTTTATATTTCTTGTTGTATTTTAATTTGTCCTGTCTGCCGAGGAAGGCTTTCAGTCGAAACGTGCCTATCTTAGTGTCCTGCCTTTCGATTTAAGCTTCCACATACATTGTTCTACTATTTAATGGTCTTTAACTGGGGCACATTTTAGGGTTCTTGAAAAACAGATGATGTTGCTAGAAATAATAGCTCAAATAAGTGTTGAATCTTTTGATTTAAATTTGCCCATTAATTTCAATGTGTATCTTGTGCATAGAACCCCAGCGACAACCTCGAGGTGAGAATTATTTTTGGAAATGTGGCTTTGTACGGCCAAGTGAGTGCCGTCAGCAGCACCAACCCACTGGTTGTGTCACAGACTGTTAACTTCACCAGAGTGGACAAGGCTGAAGGAAGTAAGTGTGTCTTTGGTGTTGTTGTAGCTTAGCATTAGAACCCTTCAACTCCGCCAATGGCTAGGTTCATTGATTTTTTTTTAATTCGCAAAAATAAGAGTTTTCAATATATTAAAGTTTAATAAAAGTCCACAAAACATACTATTTTAATTTTGATGTTATTTAAAGGATTTCTATTGAAATTGTTCTAATTATGATGTTAGTTAAATGAGATCTATTGAAATTGTTCTAATTATGGTGTTATTTAAATGATATCTATTGAAATTGTTCTAATTCTGATGTTATTTAAATGAGATCTATTGAAATTGTTCTAATTCTGATGTTATTTAAATGAGATCTATTGAAATTGTTCTAATTCTGATGTTATTTAAATGAGATCTATTGAAATTGTTCTAATTCTGATGTTATTTAAATGAGATCTATTGAAATTGTTTTAATCCTGATGTTGTGTGTTTTCCGACGTGCAGCAAGCATCGCCATCAACAGATGTGGCATCCAGCTTGGCAAAGGACCTAACGCCCACTTTGTCGGCTACATTGATGACGTAAGTGTTACTGTCTAAATGATAGCTTACGTCATTCCTTTCATTAACTCTCTAACTAGGCAGTTGTATGAGCACAAGAATATGTCTGACAGTTCCCCCTCATCACATTTATGTGGGTACCAAACTTACTCTTTTGTTGTATGTTAACATGGTTTACACATTACCTGGTTTTCCTGATGATTTCTTCTCTTCTTAAAGAACTAGAACCATTTGGTAATCTTGTGTCCTTAAATTCGATTTGATGACAGATGTATAACGGAGTGTTGGTATGGTGTTCGTATTTATTGATGGTAGCATTGTTAATTGGCTTAACATCCTCTCTCTCTCTCTCTCCCACAGTTTTCCATGTACGAGAACTGTGCCGATATCAACACATTGCTAAGATAAACAGGAACCTGGCACCAGCAGCGCTTACCATTGTCAACGTCTTCCATAAAAATATTTATACTTTTACAGAAAAACATGAATATAAATATGCGTTTAATACATTTAGCATAAATTTACTGGAATATTTCTGATTTCAATCTGTTTGCAATTATTGTCTAAATAAAAACACAGACAATCTTATTGATCCGCCAGTATCTAAAGTAGGACAACCATTGTGTGTTCTCCCAACACTGAAAACACACTCCAAAAATTGGAAATACATTACAATCTTAATGCTATTCAAGAAAAGGGGAAAACGAATGAATCATCTTGTCAAAGAGATTGTTGTTTCGCTTGTGACTTTTCTTCTACTTAACATTCTAAAATAAACAAAAATATTCACTGGAAATATCTTAGCTACGATTGTTATTATAATTTTCTATGTAATTCGAATGTCTTTTGTATGTCAGAGCTTGTATTGTGTGGGTGTATACGTTTATTGTGTAACATTTTTGTTGATACTTGTTGACAGTGGTCACAGAGTTCAAACATGGCGGACAAAGGTGAAATGGTAAGCCATGTCTAAAGATTGACTCATGACATGATATCGTTGAAGAGATTGTTGAAAAGATTGATTGATTAAAAAATGTGTTAGTGCTTGATGCTTCTAAATTTCTAAATTTGATGTTTGATTTAGGCAGAGATATTTCAAATAAGCTTAGTTTGTTTTATATATATATATATATATATATATATAATAAACATCAACCCAGTAAACATCAACCCAGTAAACATCCACCCCGTAAATATGAACCAAGTAAACATCCACCCAGTAAACATCCACCCAGTAAACATTCACCCAGTAAACATATATATATAAAACATCCACAACAAAGAAAGTTCCGGAACATCAACCACAGTTGACAAATATAAAATAGTTAACAATGTGAAACAGGAAATATATTGAACATGTTGCAATGGGAAAAACAAAGTAATATTCACAAAAAGCAAAAAGGTCGAAATGCCTGTCACCAAGCTGCATTGGAAGATTACATTACCAGACACTCATTACAACAGCAAGCACTCGGTACGACAGCAGACACTCGGTACGACAGCAGACACTCGGTACAACAGCAGGCACTCAGCCCAACAGCAGCCACTCAGTACAATAGCTGAAACTCAGTACAACAGCAGGCACTCGGTACAATAGCTGGCATTCCAGTTTCAGGACCAGAGGAAGATCAAGCCGTCAGCTGATCGAGTGTGGTGAGGACACTCCAGTAGCCAACATGAAAATGATTGCCAATTGTACCTCCCCCGCCAATTGTACCCCCTCCGCCAACTGTGCCACCTCCGCCAACTGTACCTCCTCAGCAAACTGTGCCACCTCCGCCAACTGTACCTCCTCGGAAACTGTACCTCCCCCACTAACTGTACCTCCCCCGCCAACTGTACCTCCCCCGCTAACTGTACCCCCCCTCCAACTGTACCTCCCCCGCTAACTGTACCTCCTCTGCCAACTGTACCTCCCCCGCTAACTGTACCTCCCCCGCTAACTGTACCTCCCCCGCCAACTGTACCTCCCC